ATATAATCTTTCTTTTCATGAGTCAAACAATAAAAAACATAATTCCATTTATATTATCACAATATTAAATATCACTTATCAAACTGATTGCTGAATGAATTAATCAACTGATAGAGTTGTTTAAAATAAATTTCTAATGTATTTTCGTTGTCTCTGATTAAATCTTTTTTCTATGCGTTAAAAAATTAATAATTTTAAAAAATTAATAATTTAAAAAATTAATAATTTTATTTATGTTAACAGAACAGTACATACATAGAGATTACTGTAATAATCATCGATTAAGTTAATTTAATTAAAATTATTCTTAAGTTAATCTGAACGGGGTTATGAAGTGTACTTACATTGCTCCTCCAGCCAAAAATAAAATAATAAAAGAACCTTTACCATTTCGTTTCTATATCTTGAACACGAGAATTGAGAATCCTTACACACATTCCTCGTTGAAAAATCACTTCAAGTATATCCATTCATATCCGCTTGTAACTGCTCCATATTATGACATCACTTAAATCCTTCCGTTGCTAATAATAATAATTAATAATAATTTATTTCGTACGTACAAGATTGATAATAAAATAGATAAATAGTCTGAATACCCGAAAGGAATGTAAATAAACTGTTAACAAGATCACCGAAGGTCGTTGTTTACATGGTGAAATTAATCGCGCGCAGGGATCGAAGCGGATTCGATTAATCGAGACAGCGGTCGGAAGGCAGCAGCGATCAGCCGGATCAGTGCAGTGGATACCGCTTGGAGCTTACTTCACAACGTTTACGGTGGCGGTACGATCGTATGATACGGATTACGGGACGGGAGGCGCAAACTCCGCTCCAGCAGGCTCTTCTGTCTCCTCAGAAAGAGAGAGAGAGGAACGCGATCGACTGCACCTCGATGCGCGATCTCTCGTTACGCACGTTGCGACCGCGTGGCTCCGAGTGACTTCAATCTCCCGTCGGTTTGCCGCCGTTGGGTTGCATCAAACTAAACAAGGCTCGGCCACCCGCACGCAAGCACGCACGCACGAACGCACGCACGGAGCCGAGGATGGGCGACAATGGCAGAGGAGACGTCGCATCGGTATCGCCGGCGACATCGGAGGACGCGGCTAAGGCGGAATTGTACAAGGAGGAGGCGAACGAGTACTTCAAAAGTACGTAAGCCGCACGCACATGGAAAGCGCGACGATTGTAGGCCGGATGCACTCACATTTAACACATTTCGCCGTCCCGCACGGTCACGTGTATCCCAAGCTAACCCCAACTTTCGCGTCCGCGGATGATTACGCGGACCGCGCGAGTTGAAACGCCTCCGCGTTAAATTCGCGGAACGAAGAAGAGAGTCAAGAAAAGAATTTTTGTTCGACATACCGAAGACGTTGATCATCTTGACGCTTTTCTATGTTTCCTTGACGCGAGAACTTTCGGGAACTTGGGGGAGATTCTTCCTCATTCTTTCCGTAATCTTGGGAAAAGTTAGCGACGCCATGCAACAATGCTAGAGTATATGTCAAAGGAGAAAACAATGAAGCAATCATACTTCCTTGTTTATTCACCATTGCACTTCTTTCTTTTTAGATCAAGTATACGACAAAGCTATTGAATTATATACCAAAGCCATAGAATTAAATCCATCAGTAGCCATATATTATGGCAATAGGAGTATTGCCTATCTAAGAACAGAATATTTTGGATATGCGTTGACAGACGCTTCCACAGCTATCATGTTAGATAAAAATTATGTCAAAGGCTATTATCGGAGAGCTGCCGCTTATATGTCCCTCGGCAAGTTCAAACTGGCTCTCATGGATTATAAGACTGTTGTAAAAGCTAGACCCAATGATAAAGATGCAAGCGACAGATGCTCGGAATGTTCCAAGATGATTAAAGTGTCAGCTTTTAACAAAGCCATCTCTGTCGAGGATAAAAAGAATATAGCTGACACGATTAATCTAGAAGATATGGGTGAGTATTTTTTATTCATTTTTTCTACTTCTCTGCAAATGATTGAAAGTTATTGTTATAAAACAAATTATTATATCATATTTTTATCATAAATATGATTTCTCAGTAAGAATCCTACTTGTTGACTCATAGTATATTTATGTATTTTAATTATGAAATATTATGTATTAATTATGATTTATTTATTGATATTAATTGTGACATATACCTTGTAATTACAAATATATCGAAAATTTTCTTTTTGTTTCATTAATTAATAATCATATATCTGGAAATAAATTACGCATATAATGAAAAATGAAACGAATTTATTGACAGCAATGACAAACTGTCGAATAATATATTAATAATATAAATAAATATGATTTAATTTTTTTCCAAAATAAGATCACTTCGATATATTTTACAAGTATTATAAATGTTTATTGAAAAATATTTCAAATATATTTTGCAAAAATTTTGATTATATTTTTTCTGACATCATAATTTAAAAATAGTGGTAATAAGTGAACAGAAGTCTCAAAGCTTTTACTGTAATAACATTATTTTTAGGCTATTTGTACAATTTTTATAAAAACAAGATAAAATATTAAGTTTATTATGTAATTAAAATATAAATATTTATTATTTATTATGTAATATTTTTTTAATGCACATTGTGGCTAAACATTAATAATTAATAAGAGAGCTAATATCCTTGAATTAATTATTTTTATAGCGATTGAAGGTGAATACACAGGTCCAAAATTGGTTGATGGGAAAGTTACTTTAGAATTCATGAAAGATTTATTAGAATGGTATAAAAATCAAAATAAGTTGCACCGTAAATATGCTTACAAAATCCTATTGGACGTCAAATCGTGGTTTATGGCACAACCTAGTTTAGTGGACATTACAATTCCAGAAGAAAATAAATTCACCATTTGTGGGGATATACATGGTCAATATTATGACTTGCTTAATATATTTAAACTGAACGGATTACCATCAGAAACTAATCCATATGTATCCTTTATAAAACTTAATAATATAATATTATATATGAGAGAAAAAAATTTATATAATTAATTCATGATTAGTAAACCTATTAATAACTTATAAACGTGTTAATAATTTAGACTGATTAAATATTAAATTAATATACTGATATTATACGAACATCGAAAATTACCCAAAAATATATTTCTCTTAATAGTTGTATATACAGTTATTCAATGGAGATTTTGTAGACAGAGGTTCATTCTCTGTAGAATGCATATTTACTTTATTTGGTTTTAAATTATTATATCCAAATCACTTTTTTATGTCAAGAGGTATGTAATCTTTCGTTCGACATTATGAAATTTTAATTTACATGTTCATGAAATATTTTGTATCTTTAGGTAATCATGAGTCAGCAACAATGAACCAAATGTATGGATTTGACGGAGAAGTTAAAGCTAAATATTCTGTCCAGATGGCAGAATTGTTTACAGAGGTTTATAACTGGCTCCCTCTTGCACACTGCCTCAATCGTAAAGTGCTTGTGAGTATTTTTCAAAGTGTCATACATATTTATACTATATATACTGTATGCATATACAGGGGTGGCCATATTCGACGGAAAGATGTTTTTTTTTCAATCATGGGAAACGTCGTTATTCGATCTAACATCTCTGTCAAAAGTTACAGTGTTTGCCAGATCTTTCCGTCGAATATGGCCAACCCTGTATATTTATATTGTGTATGTATACACACTATACAGTATTTATATATTTATACGTTTACTCACAATCTTTAATTCTCCGATCAAATAATAAAATTTCTAAACTCGAGATATATGAGATGATTAGATTTGAACCTAAATATTCGCTAAATAACTCGTAGTTATGAGTCAACTGTTTTCGGAGTCATCCACCATACGTCATCCCACGTATATTGCATGTAATTTTCATACAATTGCAATGATTTTATATCAGGTGATGCACGGTGGATTGTTTTCGCGAGATGATGTGACGTTGCAAGAAATTAGAGAAATCGACAGAAACAGACAACCACCTGACGAAGGATTGATGTGTGAACTATTGTGGTCTGATCCGCAACCACAAATGGGCCGGGCGCCCAGCAAGAGAGGCGTAGGTGTTCAATTCGGACCCGACGTCACACAGAATTTCCTCAGTATAAATTCCCTTGACTACATCGTGAGAAGTCACGAAGTTAAAAACGATGGATACGAAGTGGGACATGACGGAAAGTGTATCACAGTATTCTCTGCTCCAAATTACTGGTACGTTCATCATATACGACAATTACACACTAACACATTACGTCTGTATCTACAATATAATTTTATGTATTTAATCCTCGACTACAGCAATGAATTATTTAAACCTGTGAAAATTTTTGAACGATTGTACAATATGTACGATTGGTATTATGAAGTTCTAAATTGTAAGTAAAAAAAAACTTCGAATTTTTCTCTATCAATTACCGTAAGGTGGAAGTTTACTTGCATCTGCATTTCAAACAGAACGTTTTAAAATTTAGATGTAGTTGAGGATTAATATGAGTCTATAAGTATATAAACTTTAATATGTTTTAATATTAAATCTTAGTGATACTATGGGTAACCGAGGTGCCTTTATCACACTTAATGGTAGTGACATGAAACCTTATTTTACATCGTACGATGCAATGGTATGTACTTTATTCACAGATTAAATTATTTTAATTTATGTTATTTACTTGCTTTTATCATATTTTATATTTAAGTTCCATCTTTATCTCATTACAGCCTCATCCAAACGTAAGGCCGATGGCTTACGCCAATTCTTTACTAAAGTTCATGTGCTAGTGGAACATCTAGGTATTATTGAAAAATGAATAATAATAACTGAAATATAAGTAGTCCAATCAAAGTGTGCGTAATATATTTGATACTGAAATGGGGAAGGTAAGAGACTTTAGGCTTCTCCGCAACAATAATTATTATATTCTTTCTAGGAGATCGCGATCGAATTTCTTGTATTATAAAATATATGCGATGAGAATGCATAATATTGATGGGTACAAAAGCGAGAAAAGTTTGCTTATTTTTACAACAGGCAAACAAATCTATCAGACTTCTTATCTATAAGAAAACACGGCTCATCAAACACTGGCGATTTGTGTTCGTTTGTAATAAAATGGCGCGAAGAGAACGTTTCTATTTTGTACCCTCAATCTATGACCACCTTGCTCGTTAAAGATACCTACGTGCGCGTAAATATAAAAAGAACAAATAATTTTGATCTCGAAGATATTTCCACAGAATTTTAACTTTATAATATATTATTTGTATGAAGCGCTGAATCTTAAACTTTTAATCGATTCTTTAGCGACCAACGGTGGAGTTTCAATGAAATATAGTAATTACAAGAGTATACATACATGCGTATGCAAAAACCTAGAATAATTATGTAGTACAATGTTCTAACCAATCACTATTTGTCACGTTATTTGTGACAATTTTTTTACAAATCTATTGTGATTGGAAGGACTTCTTTGATCTAACATTTTGTTTTTTGTTAATAATAAATGATGTTTATGATGTACATACATAAATTGATATTTTATTTTACGCGATGACTAATAAATAACGAGTGCGTTAATTAATATAAATTTATGAGAAATAATGTATAATTTCCTTTGGTAAATCATTCCGATTTCCATGGGTCACTTTCAAAATCTTAATTCTTTCGTCTTCATGTAATTTTTGGAACAGTGCTGCGTGTCGTTGCGGTGTTTTATGTATTTGCGGAATAGTCCCGATTACGAAAGCTTTCGTAGGAGAACCGAAAAATATGTTCATTATTTTCTTCTTGAAGTCTTCACTAAATAATTCCATTTTGCCAATTTCATCGATAAGCAATATATCCTGCAATAGCAATACAATTGATATTATCGAAGTGTTGAAATAATTAAAAATTAATTTTCGGACAAGTCATTGCTCTTACAGTGTCCAAATCCAATATTGGAAGCGCTATAGTCTCGAAATTATCTCGAAAAACGCGGTAGTTTCCCACTTGATACCTGGGAGAGGTTTTATTTCGCGTATCTGTTGAGTCTGTCATTCTGTCAGTAAAAAAACGTTAAATACGTGTTCAGTTACTTTATTGTTTTATCATTGTTATGAATGAATACGCACAATTTTGCTAAGGATAATCTGTTTCCAGGATCCTTTACTCGCACAATGTCAAAGCCAATCCTGGAGCCACTCTGATCTCGCACTTCCTCTGTGTAAAATCCATCAAACCTGCTGCCCTTTTTCTCCAGCGCGGACGCGATTTTTTTGCATACTGTAGTTTTACCTATCCCTATAAAATATTCAATGATTCGTTTCTCTAGCTGTAATATTAATATAGAGAATATTTTGTCTTATTTTTTCTTCCCAAAAAATTATTCATATTATATGCGTTTGCATTTTTATTTGTTGTAAAAATCATTTGAAATAACAATATTTAATATTTTATGTTATAAGAGTATATTTATTAGCTTATTTGTGTACGAAAAGTGGAAATCAAATACATTGTATTATTTAACTTAATATTATTTTCTAAATATAGAACTGCCAATATTTGAGTAATATTCAAGATAATTGGGTACTTTAATATTGGCAACAATAGAGAATAATTTAATTAGTATCTTAATAATGTAAAATATATTAATAATGATATGTTAAGAATGTAAAATATATATATAATTTAAAAAATTATTTGTTAGACATAGATATAAATTAATCTTTTTAAAATTTCATGTTAAAAGTATGGAAATTACTTTTCTCAAAATATACTCGCCTGCAAAAAAACTGGTAATTATAATGACCTATATTATAGTGACCTATTTTTTTATGGGTGAATATATTTTGGATGTGCGTATGTGTTTATTTGTTGTACGTATGTAAAATACAATATTATTTATATTTATATTATAAAATTTAAAAAGGTGCATTCCATTTTAATACATATGCTGCAGCACTTTATTCTTGTTCATTGAATGTTAAACATAAACAGGATAAAACGATACATCATGCGTAAAACGGAACGACCTTTTAATGTACTATAATAAAAATGTGTGTGTGTGTTTACTGTATTTTACACACGTACGCCCAAAACACCATACTCGCCTGTAAAAGAGCAGGCTACTGTAACGTTATAGTGACCCAGTTTTTTTTTTGCAGTATATTATTTGATTAGCAAGCGCTTATTTTAATTAGATTTAATTATAACATTTTCTTTATGAGACCACTGCTTTATGTATTTTATTTGAATCCCCCCCTCCCTAGTCTTTGATTCTAACCTGGTGGACCCGTAAGTAGTACATGTAAAGGCCGCGATGCACCGCTAGTTTCCATGACTCGTAGCAATGTTTACGTCTGATTCCGGGAAACAAACGTGACAGATTCTCCTTCAATTCTCCGCCACGATTGAAGTTCGTCGAAAGCCGGCTCGTTTTTAATGATCATGAATTTAGGTGGTATTTACGCGAGAACGCGATTATACACGACATTGGACAGATTAATAGATTCAAACGAATATTCTTTCAACACGACGACGGTCGTCGACAGCAACAGCAGCAGCACCGGGCAAACGTCGAAACGACCGAAGTGACCGCACGGGGGGGCCAAAGAGCGATCAGCTGATCGGGCTGGACGAGCAGCGACAGGAGGAGACAAACGGTTGGCTGATCGGAGAGCGGATTGATATAGTAGTGGTAGTGATGGTGGCGACGATGATGGTTACTGTGACAGTGTGGTAGTGAAACTTCCGGTACAGGTTGAGCCGAGCGTGTGTGTACACACAGAACCGTGCGTCGTGGCGTTTCGACCTCCACGATCTGTGAACTGCATTATCGTATCGAGTATACCGTTTCATCCGCGCGTCTCTCCTTACGACTTTTTCTCGTTGGAGCAAGTCGTGCGATATCTTCGATGAGAGGAATTCTTCGTAGACACAGTCGGTAGACGTTAGTGCAAAATAAACAGCACTCGCAAGGGAGGAGAGAAGGCGGAGGTGGTAAAAGAGGAGGAGGCCAAAAGGAGGAGGAGGAGGAGGAAGCGCGGCGATCGCGACGTGCCCGATCCGCGATCCCGTGCTGCGTGAAGGGGCGCTCGCTCTTTTCGCTGGTGGTCGCGTTCGGCGACGTTCGCGCACGTCCATCCACGCGCGCCGGGCACGGGGAGGATAAACGGAGTAAAACGCGTGACAATCGTCCGCGGAGGGTGGCCGGAGCGACGACAACCACGGGGGACGAGCGTACGGTGACGACGTCGACGGCGACGACGAAAATGCCGATGACGGCGGCGTCGTCGTCGCGCGGCGACGCGTGCCAGGAGGATCGCCAGCCGTCAGCTGTCGTCGTCGACGGGGAGACGGACGGTCGCGTTCGATTCCGCGTCGGCAATCTCCGACGACGACGCCGACGGCTACCGCGACAGACGTGCGAGGATGGCGACGGGGCCGGGGAGGTCGCCCATCCGTCCGAATGCAGCGCGCTGTCCTACGTCCTCGCGCGACAGATCGACGACAAGATCGACTACTGCCGGAGCTTAACCAACGCCAGATTCGCGAACGCCGAGAATCTCTACAGGAAGGACCTGCTGTCCCACTACGGATGCGTCAACGCAATCGAGTTCTCCAACCAGGGCGACCTACTGGTGTCCGGTAAGTCCGCTTGTCGACTTGATTTTTCACGTCGCCTCTCCCTCGATCTCGCCTCTCCTCGCGAGAGGAAAAGAGAGGATCGCTATTACTCGCGCTTTCGTCCCCTTCGATCGACCATTACGATGTCGTAATTCGTTTAGGACTTGAAACGATGCTAATTTTTAAACAGCAAATTGCTATTATTGTCATTATTTTTATTTTTATTTTTGCGTCGCTTCAAAAGTTCGCAAGCGCCTTGACGACTATTGGTCGTCTAATCTTAATTGGATCAACTTTGATTTTTCGATCAATTTTATGACATTTATTATGTCCTTCTTTTCCATTTCTTACGATGCACATTCGAAGTATCCGTTGATGTCGGAAATATTGATTCTCACGTTGAAAAAGCTTCCACTCTTTTCTCTCAGTTTGAGATAAGGGCGTGCGTGTTTCCGCGAACATCGCTCGACACAGTGCCACATTAGAAAGATTTGGAAAATATATTCTAATAATAAAGAGATGAATCACGTGTGAATGGCATGTAACGTCCTATTTTCGCAGGGGGCGACGACAGAAGAGTTCTATTATGGAGAGTGGAGCAAGCGATAAATAATTTCGGCAGGCCCACCGTGATGAAATCACAACATGTTAGCAATATATTTTGCCTTGGTTATGACAGCAGCAAAACTAAGATATTCTCCGCCGGGAATGACGATCAAGTTATAGTCCACGATTTGCGCACGTAAGGCATTTTTTGCACGACCAATGCGTGGAATGCGAACTAACAGAGTCAACGGAGATTAAGAGACGCCGTTTTGATGTTGCAGGGGCGAATCCCTCAACATCTTCCTGCACGAAAAGCCTGTCTACGGGCTGTCTATTCATCCGCACAATGATGAAGTCTTCGCCAGCGCATGCGACGACGGGAGAGTTCTCATTTACGATATACGTACCAACAACGCTATGGAAACTTTGGCACAATACAAAAGCGCCTTCCACTCTGTCATGTTTAATCCCGTGGATCCGAGACTGCTCGCTACTGCCAACGCTAAAGAAGGTGTCAGTATGTGGGATATACGAAAACCTTTGGAGTAAGTGTACGAACATGTGATTCGACAAATATTAAACAATTGTTGCTTATAATTGAAGTAGACTTTATAAGTCTGTGATAAATCTGAAAGAATATAGCGCTCACCCAATCGTTGCGTTTTCTGAAGCAGCCAATGTTTAAGCGTTGTATAAAACGTAATTGGAAATGTGTTGCAATAGTATAATATATCCACAATTTTTCAAAATCATCAATTTTTCGTTGTCATTAAATGTCATGTTTTATCTACAGGCCTGTACTGTGTTATGGAAGCCCGCAACAGAGTTGTATGAACGTCAGATTTAACTCGATGGGTGACCGATTGCTGGCCTTACGAAGAAGACTACCACCGGTTCTTTACGCTGTCGATTCTCCCACGCACTTATGTGAATTTGATCATACGGGATATTACAACAGTTGTACTATGAAGTCTTGCTGTTTCGCTGGCGAGAACGACGAATACGTTCTTTCTGGCAAGTATAACTGATATAAATGTAAATTTGCTATGTATATCTGAGAAAAATATTTCGAATATATATGTCTAGGTATTTAGCATATGATTATAGAAAGAAATTACAATTGATAATACATATCGATTTTTACGCAATGAATTTGTAGGTTCGGATGATTTCAACCTGTATATGTGGAAAATTCCTCCTCCCGATGGCAAATCATGGGTGGAATCCGCCCACATGGTGTTGCGTGGTCACAGATCGATCGTCAATCAAGTTCGATACAATCAAACAAGCTGTATCCTTGCGTCGTCTGGCGTCGAGAAGATTATTAAGATTTGGAGTCCATTTTCATTTGGAAGCGGATGTTTAGGAGGATTGAAGGTTATGAACTTCTTACAATAAATCATTAGTAGCAAATTAGAAGTCAAATCAAGAACAAGTTATAAGCGAATCAGTAGCGTATTTTAAGGTAATAAGAAAAGGCCATCTACAATAGGAGTAATATAATGTAGTAAATTGTAAGAAATTTACGAATCAATCGAATGTGAAAAAATTGATTGAATTTCTTACTGTTTACTGCGTAGTGCGCAATATTATTTCCATTATAGATGGCTCCATAAGTCAATAATAGATTTTCTACAATAAGTCGTTAATAATAGATCAAAAGTCGAGCGAGTCAGTAATGTGTCATAAGACAACAATAAATCAATAATCATTGACTGGAGATGGCCGATTATAACTTAGATTACATTATGACTGATCAATTACGTGTATTATTGTTTGCCCTGAGAACCATCCTCTTGATTGACTGAAATATTGTGACACATAATTTAATATGATTTCTAGATGCAAGTTTCCCAAGATTTATGATTTATAATTTTGACTTTCTACTAGTATGATATAAATGATGACTAACTGCTTATTGTAGAAAGTCTATTACCGCTGCTTATGATAATTGTTTTTAAACAATCGTTATGATTTGACATTGTCTATCAACGTTCCCTTTATCTTCTTTCAGAGAGACGCTGGCAAGCGCGAGAAACAACGCCGAGTATTCACACACGATGAATATATAGGGCTGGTTTTACGTAGTGGACAGTTTATGACGCACGATTACAGCCATCAGTCGACTAAGGAAGACCCACGAATGATGGCCTTTTTCGATTCCCTTGTGCAGCGCGAAATTGAAGGCTGGAGCTCCGAGGATGTGCCAACACCTCATACTCCCAGCGATTCTGAAATAAATCCAGCAACGGGCGAACCGTACAGCGCGTCAGAAGGCGATGGTACTGAGAATAATTTTCTGTATTTAAAAAGATGGTATAGTTTACGTGAAGCAAAATAAAAAATATCACAAAATCTCATTACCAAATCGAATATAAGAAATTTTAATTTTTATAAATTCTAATTTTTCTATTCGAACAATTAGATATTTCGTGCGTATTTGATAATTAGATATATCTTCTATTTTTACTTTGTAATATTTAGACATTGTTTGTTTGTTTTATTATTTTAAGAGATAAATTTTTGCTTCACTTTTAATTATATTCTTTTCCAGATTCAATAGAATAATGTAAAATATCGTTATTCTTCATCATAGATACTACGGCATCGGAAGGCGGTGTAGCTCCCGAAAGGCCATTAGAGTCGCCGAATCGCATAACTCGGCTTATCGCGAATCGCAGAAAGAAGCTCATGCGAATGGCCGCGATGGAACGATCCCCCTCGGATTCCGCTAGTGAGGGAGACAACGCTCACCTGAAACGCAGATCCAAATCGAAGTCAAAATCGAAGAGTGTTAAGAGGAAACATACCAGACTGTCTAGCAGAAGAAGACTATCTACCAGACGAAAGTGTACTGTGTTAAAAGTCAATAGTGATTCGGACAGTGACGACGAACGGCCGGTTGATGCGGCTCAACCCAGTACTAGTTCTGGGGTAATTTTCCGGAGATCGCGATACGTCGCTAGCGCGATCGAGAAAGACGACAAAAGCTCGAGCTACAGCAGCAGCAGCAGTAGCTGCGTTTACGAGGACATTGTCGCCAGTATCAGTAAACGAAAACATTCTAAAACTGATTCAGATACCTCTACGAAGGCGCACAAACGGAAGCATCGAAAGTGCAAAAATAATTCTCGACACTCGAATGACGGTTCTGGTAAGAGCCAAAGTAAACGACAGAAACTCGATGA